CTGCCCTTTCCCCATGCAAAGGAATTTACACTGATGTTATCAAGAGTTTGGAAAACGGAATGTAACCAGCTGAGGTAAGGCCTGGAGGTAAGAACAGGGGAAAAATCACACTTGCTGCTGTGGTTTATCCCCAGCCACAAACTCAGTACCACACAGCCACTCACTCAGCACGACCCTGCCCTACTCCCATGGAGAGAAGTGGAAATAATAAACCTCACGTGTTCAGATAAGAACAGTTTAATAATTGAAACAAAATAAAATATAATACTACTACTAAGAATAACAATAATAATTGTGATGAAAGGGAGAGATGGAGAGGAATAAAACCCAAGAGAAACAGTTGATGTACACTACAGTTGCTCACCAACCACTGATCAATATCCATATCCATTTTTTATACTAGAAAGACCCCGTCACCAAACAAACAAACAAACAAACCAAACAACAACAAAAAAGCCAAAACAAAAAAACAACCAAACAAAACACCACAAACTAAACAAAAAAACCCAAACCTGACACAACCCTTTATAAAATCTTATTCCTCTTTGAAACCACTGTACTTCAGTTATGCCTCCCCAAAAATGAAACAGAAAAAGTAACAACAAAAAAACCCCAACCACCAACTCTAACATAACCCTTTGAAAAATCTTATTCCTCCTTGAAACCACTGTACTAATGCCTGACTGGCAGGAGACTTAGTGGATCTGGATCTGTAGGCAAAAGTACCTTCACTCTTGCTTCTCCCACCACATGTTGATATCGGCTTTGGCCATATCAAACCACAGAGCAAACAGAAGCCTTCTGACAACCTCCACCACTCATAGGAAACAGCAGTGATACACCTCCAAAGCTACGTGTTAACGCGACCAGCTATCCACAGCCACTCTGGAAAGAGCCAAGACGTTCCTCTTTCCGTCCTCCTCTAGCTCACAGTTGCCTCTCTTGCGGTCCATTGGTCAAAGAAGTGAATGTTACTCTGTGTCTCTGCAGTGTGGCTTAGCTAAAGGTCTCAAAATGGAGGTGTGAAAGGACAGGAACTTTTCTGTAAGGTTTCCGCTGCACAACAAGAGCTCTCACTTTTTGCAGCTTGAAATAAACCCTACTCACAGCACAGAAGCAAGTGCAACCACAGTGGGTTTGAGCAGGAAAAGCCTTCAAGGGGGGCTAGTAAAGGAGGTGGTTCTCTGTCACCAGAAAAAGTACTGACACTCAGTTCTTCCACTCACACTCAGGCCCTCCATGACACCCACAAAAGTGAACCCAAGAACTGACCACTGAATGACAATCTATAAACTCTGGGAAAGAGGGCAGACAACAGCCACTTTCTTCTCTGCCTTGACACAGAAGGCACCAGCAATGAAGCTCCACACCGCAGCTGTCCTCGTTATCCTCTGCCTTGGCATCTTCACTGTGCTCACAGTGAAAGGTAAGTTTGCAACCCCACAGGGCGACAGGCATTGCACCACATTCCACCAGTGGTCTGATGAGCAGGATTCATTCTCAGACACAGCTGATTTATAAGACACAACATGTAGGAAATCCAGATCAGAACCACAAGAAAGGCAGCTTTATGGGAGATTTCATCTGATGTCCTGACAATTAGTGGTTGGCTTCTGCTTTATGGCAAGGAGACTTTCAGTGCCTTAGAGCACTGAAAGGGTTTCTGTGCATGATTCTCTCTCTTAAAATCATGAAATCTTGAAGATACGATGTCTTTTAATCTCACTGATGCCATATAGCAATGAATAGGTTAATGCTATAGGTTAATAATATTTTATGAAAATTATTTATTGAATTAGATTCACATTTTTTCTTTTTTCAGATGTACTACTTTTATATGAATGTTATTGTATTATTTGTTAGTTATGTTTCTCTAACTATATAGCCTGAATTCCTCTAATTATAATTCCCTATTTTAAAAAGTTCTCCCAGTTCTGGGTCACCCATTGCCTATTTGCTTGTGTCTATTTGCCTATTTGTCTAGACAAATCTTTGGTACAGACAGGCAAACCATGAACAAAAACTGAAAAGGGCAGTAATGGATTTATAGAATATCTTCTCTCTCTTCACAGAATCATACAACTTAACATCTTATGTGAGACCGTTTATGAGCACTAAAATGAGCCATGTTTATTAGCCATGCCTTAAATCAGTCTGTCTACAGTGGTGTTTAGGTCAGATCATGGAGAGATCGTGGATCTTCCATGCGAGATCATGGAAAACATGGAGATACGTCCTTTAGATAATACATCATATCATAATCAGATTCACACAAACAAGCATATTAAAAAAACCCAAACACTCATGCAAGCCGTATGCAAACCCATAAACATGCAGAGAGAAACACAGGGAAAAGGTATCTTCACAAAACCACACTAAAACCAAACTGACACCTGCTAAGCATTCACAATATTAGGAAGCCACACGCTGAGGATGTGGACCCAGTGCTGCTATAGCTGGATCATACACGTTCTCATGTTGATTAATGATACCGCTCTTCATCTTGGCAACACGTGTGTTTGCATCACAGGCTGACGGCTCCCAATGTCATTCTCCAGGTTGTAGAATTTGGCATAAACATCACCAAGGCTGAAAGAGCACACTGAGCTGGTCTACAAGCAATAGAAAAAGAACTGGAAAGAACGATAAAGAAAAAAAAGACACTTGAAAAAGCATAGCTTTTCAGGTGCAGAGCAGTTGGGGTTTGTTCCCAGGCTTAGAGAAGCTCTGCTCTACTGGTATTCCCTGCAGCCATTCCCTGAAAATAGCGTGCTAGCAGAGAAAATATTTCCAGGACGAGTAAGGACGGCTGGAATATCTTTGAGCTCTCTTGATGCCACATTTTGAAAACCAGTCTGAGACAGTAAGGTATTTGTAGAGAAGCATAAAAAAAAAATGCATAGTGCTACTTATGACTAAAACAAGATCAGAAGAGGTATTCCTTCAGGCAAACAAACCCTCAAGAATTAGCAACTCTGCCAGTACCTGTGCACTGGCTATGCTACAGCTTCTCCAAAGGCTGATGTGTCTTTATCTCAGCTATTCTAATCACAGATAATGATATTATTTGAAGCAGGTTTTATATTTAGCAAGGTGCACCTGAACAGCTCTTGGACTTTATTCAAGCCAGGGTCTCAATATATTCTTTAACAAGAAATCTCAGAGTGCTGCAGTGTTATGCTTATACCCCTCATGCCTTCCCAAAATGTCTTTCATGAGTAGGAGAAAACCAGAAATTAGTAAGTGGAGACTTACATACATGTGTCCATATACTCCATCTCATTTAAATGAACTTCCATTTTGAGTTACCATCCTTTAAGATCACACCTACTCAGAAAATTTTACACTGATATCATGATTCTCTTTATTAATCATCAGTCCATTTCCCTCAATTGTATGAAAATCTTGGAGGAAAGCAAGGATTAAGTAGCACTCCATTGACTATGAAACCAGACTTATAGCAAGGTATGTAGGTACTTGGTCTTCTGGCAGATATACCTCCCTTTCTTTAAACAGTTTTTTTCAATTCTGCTTTCACATGTCAACTGTGAGACAAGTAGCCTTGCTTTCCTCTTTTTTTTTCACTTGGCAAGTAGGGGGAGTTACTGATCCACATTCAGATGCCATATGGAAATCCACACAGTAAATGTGCTGGTTCTAAGCACTACTCCATATGGACACTTATTTGCAGATGACACAAACCCAAATATGAATGATACCAAATACCTTTTCTGCTATGGAAGCAGTCACTCCCTAGGGGCAGAATTATTACACAATTGTTCAGGTTAACAGGTGAAGATTAGTATCTTGACTGAAAGGACAATAACACTTTATAGATGGCAGGATGCATCACAAAAAATAGCTTAAGCTCTCTTGTATAAGTGGTATTGTGGCTGTAAATCATGAGACTCTCATGTTCTAACTACAACTGGACACCTTCTCGATTTCACAATTCATTAAGTAATTATGGCTAAATATAAATATAGTATTTATTCCCTTTTCATTTATACATTTTTTCCCTTCTAGGAAGTGCTGGAAGTCAGTCCATGCGCAAATTCAATTGTGTAAAGCTGCGTACAAAACAACTGAACATCCAAAATTTTGCAAAGTATGAAAAGCACCATATGCCAATAAGTGCCATTGTGTAAGTACCTAATGCACTGTTCACCTTCAGACTTGCCTATACAAACATGTTACCAACGAAAAGGGAAGGGGAATCACAAGACACTTCGTGGTCCAACTCACCAAATCTGCCAAGTTCAGGTCATCCTTCCAGTTCTCCCATGAAGGAGTCACCTGACAGCTGAGGGAATGAGGGGAGACTAGTGGCCTCAGAGAGCTGGGAGATGTCTACTGTCCATGAATATGGGCAGAAAGCTCACTGAACAGTCAGATCTTTGGTGGTCAGCAAGTCTCAGCAAGGGGTAGAGCAGTCAGAAATCCAGTGCACTGAATTGAGCCATGGGGAAAAGATTGTGTGAAAGAATATGGCCTGACTCCTGCTAGGAGCTGTGTTTGGTCTTTTGAGCTCACTAGCATGCATTTTTATCAAATCTGGGATCTGCTCCTGGGACGTTAATGTTCATCATGATTTCATCTAAAATCTCAGAACAGTAGGGATGCTCCTTCTTTTAATATCAGTATATATGCACATGATCATGTATGTTCCACATATACCCATGTCATGAATAGGGAACTAACATTGCTTGCTTCTGTTACTCCAGCTAACATCTACAAACTCCACCATTTGAAAGTGTTTAACCACATTTTTCCCCGTGTTCTGCATGAAAACCAAGAACAGCAAATCTGGATTTAGAGACTGGAATTTAATGGCCGCCTGTTTGCTTTCTTTCTTCCTATAGGTTTATCAATAGAAACGGTGTCAGAATCTGCGTAAGTGCTGATCAGAAATGGGTGCAGACTGCTATGAAGAAAATAGACCAAAGGTCGGCATCATCAAGGAATGGTATTTCCCAATTTAGTGTTACCAGTGAAACACCGCAGATCAGGCGTCATTCACCAACTCCTCCTCCCCCTACTCCTTCGGTGGGATGGAGAAGAGAACTGGAGACACAAAAGGTAAAGATCACGGGTTGAAATAAGAACGGTTTACTAGAAACAGCAATGAAATAAGAAAACAACCAGTTACAACAATTATGTTAATAACAGAGTGCATGAGACAGGTGAACACTTCCAAGTAAAATTGCTCACCACACAGAACCTGGCACCAGACACCCACACAGAACCTGTGCACCAGCCAAACCAGAGTCTTGGAAAGGTTCCAGTCTGCCATGCTCTGGTCTTTGTTATTGCTTTATAGAACAATACATCTAATTAAAAATATCCTAAGTACTACCCAAGTAGTTCGAACAGTATAAAGCAACACTTGATTACCTACTGTTTAGTGTATTCTTTAAACACACATCAAGTCTCAGTCACCTCCAGAAAAGAGCTGCTGACAGACCTCTAATCCATAATACAAGAACCTACTGCAGTCTATCCATATACTAGATTTAGGTACTTTTTCATATAATTTTGTATCTACATCCATATCAAAGAACAAAATTATTTCCTAAATTGAAAAAAGTATGATGAACAAACAGATGTGTAACAATAGGAAGAAAGTTAAAAGTTAGTTTGACTGCATGAGACTGAAAATGGAGTTGATATTGTTCCGTGCTTTGGTTCATTTCTTTCATTTTTGATTCTCAGGTGGCAAGCCGAAAGGAAATCCATGACTTAAAAGAAGCTTCCAGTGTTAATGAAACTTCACAGTCTGACCATCCACAAGACTCCCAGACAGTTGCACTCCCAGCACTGAAGACATTAACTAATGGGACCAAAGCCCCTTCACGGCAGCTCCAGTGAGCCAACGGGTGCCCCTCTTGACTCTCTGCACATCCCACCCACACCCACTCAGACCAGGTTTTTCTTTAATGGTTCAATCCCAGGTTTCCCACAGCAGTGTCAGATACCTTGTTCCATAAAGCAATTTATTCACAGCGCAGTAACACGGCAACAGCCCGAGCTGCCGCCTCCTAGGAGGAACCCCCTAACAAAGGACCCTCTGGTCTTTTACACCCTTGCAGTCTATACCGAGGTGGTAGTGGATCAAGGGTTGGACTTGATGATCTCAGAGATCCCTTCCAACCCAGCTGATTCTATGATTCTGTGAGGTGGAAATACTGATGAGACATTATGCCATCCAAGATTTGACACCACAATGGAATATGGAATGTTATATAATGTCCCACGATAAGGGGGCAGCTCTTTTCTAATAGTTTTGCTGCTGTTTCAACTGAATTATTACAGGCTGGTGCTCCTGCTGCAACTGGATCTAGCTCAACTGAATAATATGCAATTGGCTTCTGATGGGGTCCTAAATTCTGCATTACTGCTCCACGAGCTATTCCTTTACATTTATGTACATACAGATTAAAGGATCTGGGAGCTCAAGAGCAGGAGCAGCAGACACTAAAGCTCCTTTTATACCTTTAAAGCTTGATCTCTCATATCTAGTCGGTTTAGGGGTTTTTGTTTGGTTGGGGGTTTTTTTGGGTTTTGCGGGGTTTTTTTCATTCGTTTTTTTGATTACTGGATGTGGGAACTTAATTATGGCCTCTATTCTCTCCAGATCTGTTGCCATTTTCCTAAAATAAAGCCTAAATACTTAACTTTCTTTTCACCCAGCTGAATTTTGGATGGAGATGCACAGTGTCCCCTTTTCACTGGGGCAATACATAAATGTGTAGTGTCTAATATGCAAGCATTCTCATCACTACTTGCTAATAACAAATCATCCACATACTGTACAAGAAGCAATTCTCACAGTAATTTCAGACCCTTTAAATCAACCCCAATATTCTTGAAAAAACGGTAGGGAATCTGGCAAAACCTTAGGGAAATGTGTACCAGTCAGCTGCTGTCTTTTTCAAGTTAAGGCAAACAAAAGCTGACTTTCCTCATCTAATGGAATGCTTCAAAATCCCTTGGGCTAGGTATCAGTCTGTATCCTTCTGAATACTCTTCTTGGCTTCCAGGGGAATAGGGTCCTGTCTCACAATGGGTAGCACTTTATTTGCTTCTGATACTCTTCTTGCCTTCCTGGGGAATAGAGTCCTGTCTTCCTGGTGGGTGGCACTCCTCCCTTTGGGGACCGACAGTCCCATGTCTGTCTTGGTCCCTGCCACACTGGCATGTGCTTCTTAAAATATCTCTTAATTTCGGGGGCTGCCTGGTCTACAAAGACACTGCAAGTGTGCCACTGAAGATTTGTGACAGCCACTGTCCTGCTGAGCTAGCAGACCAAGGTATAGCTGGCCAATCCTGCTGGCACAACATCACTTCATGCACTTCGCAAAATCCTACTGTACTAAACAATTTATCCCAATTTTGCACAACCTTGGCCAAGGGTATCCCCGTATCTATGCTGGGCTTATTTCCCTTCGTTTCAAACACTAAGAGGGACTTGAAAACCCTTTTCACCTGATTAAAAAAAAAAAAAAAAAGAAAAAAAAGAAAAATGGTCTTCAATCTCCCTTCTGTGTGCCTCAAGGGACTCTACCACTCCCTGCACAGTACGAGGTACACAAGCCTCTCCCGGCATGGGTCTCCCAAACCCATCTGTGTTATACGAAAGACACGAGCCCCCCCCACCTCACGGGGGCTCCACATCTCCTCTACGTGTGCCTTCCACTGACCAGGCTGCGCATCCGTTCTTGACCGATAATTTCACCAAATCTTCACAAAATGCCACACCAACGGAGAGACTCATATGCACCCTTACAATTTATACAGAATCTGCTCAGGGAATTTTAACACTCACCTTTTGGCTTCTCCCTGCTCCAAAGGTCCCAAGCAAACTCACCCAGTGCCGTCCATAGGATGTCTGGAGAAGAGAGACTCTGAAGGTAGTGGCCTTGTGTCTCAACTGGGTCACTGAGACGTTGAGGAAACTTCCCAGTCCGACCATTCACAAAAATCTCTGGCAGTCACACTCTCAACGCCAGGGTCACACCCCTCAACGCCAGAGACTTTCACTGTTGGGACCGAAGCCCCTTCCCTGGAGCAGGCAGCTCCAGTGATCCGACGGGTCCCCGTTTGACTCCCTGCACACCCCACTCACAGGCAGTCAGACCAAATTTCCTTAGCGCCTCTACCCCGGATTCCCCATCAAGGTCTCATTCCATAAAGCAATTTATTCACGGCACAGTAACACAGAGCGAGCCCGAGCTGCCGCCTCCGAGGAGGAACCCCCCAACAAAGGACCCTCTGGGCTTTTACACCCTTACAGTCTGTACCCGCGAGCACGGCTCTCTCTTCCTCCTGAGTCTTCGGCTCCGGCTGTCTCCCAGAGTTCATCCACCTCGCTGGCACCACCGGTCTTCGTGCCTATTGTTATGCAAAGTCGGCAGTTCACAGCCTCTTGTCTCTCCGGGCTCCCACCCAGAGCTACCTGCACCAGATGTATTCCTCAACAATATATCCCACCTAAGTTCACTTACTTAGTGTCCAGCATAATATACATGCACAGATTGCTTCTATAAGTAATAGAGACAGATATTTATCTTCTGGGGGAGACAACTTCCACCCTAAAACAGTTATCTGTGATACAGATGTGTGTAAGCAGAGGTTCTTAAGTTCCCTCTTAAAGTCTCTGAATGCCCTGATTCAGTCTTCAAGAGTGATAAGTGACCTGATGGCACATCTTCAAGGAGCTGCTGAACACTCACTAAAGACGCTCATTTCTAGGAGTATGTAAGATTTTACTTATTTGTGAAGCTCTTGACCTCTCTTTTTTGAAAGCTGATTACACTATGAGAAAACCCAGTACTTCAAACTCTTTACCCTTACAAGTAAACTCTTGATGTTAGGCCCAACACTACTCACTGCATGTTTCTGTTCCTTCAGCAGGGTTGCTGTCATGAAACAGGGAATATGGAGCAACTATTTCAGTAAAAATTTCTTGACCCAGGATCATTAGCATTCAACTTATCCAGAGCTGAGCAGCAGTCATGGGAAAAACACTCTGGGCACTTATTAGCTGGTTTTTTAATATTATTTTAAAGCAAGAAAACAGGAAGACAATACATCTGATTATCTTATGCTAAGCTTTTTGTGCCTGCACAGAGGAAGTGCCCACTGGTGTTAAGAGTATGTGCAAAATGAGTCTTATATAACATTAGAACAGCAGAGATCAACAAATATCCACAGACAGGGCTGTGGAACTCCAGCCCACAAAACTCTTCTTTGAAACACAGACTTTTCTGAACATAAGCCAACTACACAGAACCAGAGCCCAGGAGACCACAGCAAATGAGAAGTACAAAGAGGGGGGGAAACTTGCCATGGGGTAGTTTTTCCATTTCACCTGAAGGATGGTGGAAAACTGGAGAAACAACAGGCTTTCTAGCAACACCTCAGAGGAATCTACAACCCACTGAAGGTTCTGCGGGAAGGACTGAGTTTTTCTGAGCTCATGCTGAATTCAGCTGGTAGACAGCAGATACATACATGTACATACCATATCAATGACCAGAAGTGGGGGAGCATCTTCTCTCTTAATGGGTAGAAAACTTCTCTTCACCGTCAGTGGCAAGGTTGCTATCTCGCATTTCATAGCTGACAAGTACCAAAGAGTTAGAATATCTCATCCAAGGACTGATTTCAGTCAGTGTGTAGCACAACAGTAGGCTGCTTGGACACAAACTAAACACAGAGATCCCAATAGCGCTCCTGAGATCAGTATGGTTACTTCCCTGTGTAGCATCAGGCATGTCCTTTGGGGGCTTTGGTTAAAGCTTTGACTTCCATGTCATTGCAACTTCCCTAGTGCTGCAAGTGGGTTCAGCAGACATTCAATTAAAGCAATTCAACCTGCTAGTCCTTTTCCCTGGGTGTAGTGGTTTGGACCTTGTTTTCCCCCAGAGGCTGAAAAGTGGTAACCCCCAGGGGTGGAAACCCCTGGAAGTTTTGAAGTTCTGCCCAATGAGCGCTCCTGCAGAAATGTAAACATATCACAAGCACCGGAAGAGAAGGGTTGTAGTTTAGTTGGTAGAAGAGTAGCCATGTTGTGGTAGAGCCACGAGTGAAAGGGGCCTGGAGCCCCTCGGGGCCTCTGGGGCCCCCCCCAGCCCCAGCTGGGGGCTATAGAGACAGAGCAGAAGCGGCGGCAGTGTCCAGAGACTCTGGATAAGAGCCAGGACAGATAAGAACTGAACCGGAGGAAGCAGCAGAAGAGAGCCCCCAGCAGAGCTTTGGAGTTCTGGGGGTAGGAACTGTACCAAACCCCCCCCCCCCCCAAACTCCTTGAGACCTCCTGGAAGGAGGAAGATGATGGACTCTTGCTTGAAAGAGCCTTGGAGTGCTACAGCACTTGCAGAGAGGAGCTGAGAAGCTCAGGCGTCCTGGGAAGCTGGACCGGGACGGAGAAGGAATGCGGGGGGGGGGGTTGACCTTGGCCCCCCTCACTGCTGCTGCATGCATGAGATGAGGAGAACCTGCTGCCTTAGAAGAAGCTGCTGCCTGAGAGACTGGAAAGGATCTGTCCTTCTTTCCCTCCTGGACTTTTATTTGGAGGGGAGAAGAGATCTGATCCATTGTAAATACTATATGTCATGGTAGAGATAGTTGTGATCGTGTGTATAATGTGTTATAGTATAAGTATTTATTTGTACAGTCATTGTAATATATTCCCTTTCCCCCATTCTGAGTCTGGTTGTGTTTTGTCTGGAAAAAAACCATCTCACATTAGGTTGAGATGTGGGAGGGGGGATGGAGCTAGGGAATTGGATTTTGGGGCTATCTCAAACCATGACACTGGGTTTCCCTGATTTGCACAGGATAGGTAAGATGAAAGAGTGAAACCAATAGGAACAAA